ACTATATGCTGTGGTCATCGTCAGATGATGATTTTCAATAGTAAACATTGAAGTGAACTAGATCATAATTGCTAAGTAACCGGTAGATCGCTTGTACATAGATAATCAACTGTGCAAAATTATGCATAACAACATTCTACAAAATAGTAGTGTTTACTATATATACTATTGATATAATTATCATACAATGGATACGTAACAATTAAAACTTTTCACGCAAGAAGCGGGGCCATTATTATTTACCTACAATGTTGTCATTGGTAACCAAGGAATTCTGGGTAATTTTATTCAAATTTTTAAACTAATGTGCTTTCCTACATTACGTAATTTCTTGCAAGCGTCTGAGTGACCAAGATTATTGTAAACTACGGAGTGACCATGCCATTTTTTATTTTTATTTTTTAAAAAAGGCAAATGTCCCCAGGGGGAAATGCCCGGATATTATCACAAATTCAAACGTTCATACAGCATCCAGACGATATATCTAAAACGCCGCAATAAATGGTATGTTTATTTATTTGTTAAAAATGGTAATTTATATTAAGATTTCATTGAACATTAAGATTATTTAAGTGTACTGTAATTATTTAAGTAAACTATGTTTTAATGTATTTAGAGGTAAATGTTTTGATTGATTATTAGATATCTTGTGTTTGTACGTTTTCTATGCTTTGATATAATTATCTTTGTATTTCATGTAATGATTTATTTTTATTCTTTTTTGTACAGAGAATCGTTTCCCGTTTTCCGATTACGTTATGTGATTACAACAAATAAACGCATTCTCACTAATAATGGCATCGTGTGTTTATAACTCTCAACTAAAGTTTAACAACTGTCAAGTCGAAGGTTAAAGACCTACTGAGCAGAAGGTGGAAATGGATTCCAAAAGGTTTCCTGATGCGATGAAGTCGCGAACTGCACACCTAAGTCAGCTGACGAAAACATTTAATGAACTGGAACGTTTAATGCTTTCATCAGAAAATTACGACAAAGTACATGAAATGTACAATAAACTTTGTGAGAAATATGAACACTTCAAGGCAGCACATATTCTATGTATTGATATGTGTGAGGATACAGAAAAGTAGAACTCAATGGAAAGTAATTTTACCAGTCAAGTTAAGAACTTTGCTGAGTTAAGTGAACGCTACTCAGAGTGGAAAAAATCTGTGAACAATACAGAAGATTGTATTTCAGTGAACATCTGTGTAACAAATAATTCGTCAGTGCGTTCGTCACGATCTGAAATGCTTAGTGCTAAAGCAAGGAAATTAGTTGCTGAACAGAAATTAAAGACTTTGATAGAAAAGCAGCGCATTGACAAATAGCAGCGAAAGTTGCAACGTTAACGGGAGGAGCTTGAAGAATGTAAACAATTACTTGATGTGCAAAGTGAAATTGATCAAGCTCAGGTTGAAGAAGCAGTATGGCAGCAAGACGCAATGTTTTCGGCTCCGGTGGTAACAACTGACATTCCACAAACCAACTTATCTTTATAACAGGAGGGAGGTTTCCGGAAACCAAGTACGGGTATGTGACGTTTCCATAGATACTTCTGATACAGCAGTAAGCTATAGAACCAACACCAAAGGAAAGGTGACTAGCGATATCAGTAGCATCGACATGGCTTTCAACAGACTAGCGTCTATATTACAGGAAGGGTTTAATTTGCCTAAACCTGAATTATTGACATTTACCGGAAGTGCCATAGATTATTGTAAATAATTAAGAATTTTGAAACAAGCATTGAATCTAAGATTCTTGATAACAGAATTAGGTTGGGTTATCTTATACATTATTGTACAGGCGAGGCAAAGTCTTGTATAGATGATTGTGTGTTGTTAGAGTCCGATGTAGGTTACGCACGTGCACGAGAAATTTTTAAAAATCGTTTTGGTAAACCTCATGTTATTGCTAGATCTTATATTGAAAAATTAGTTTATGGCCAGCAAATTAAGTCTCGTGATAGTGATAGCCTTTCAAAACTTGCCTTAGATACTAGTATGCAAAACTGTGAGATAACTCTTTCACAGCTAGGGTTGTTTCAGATGTTGATAATACTGAAAATCTTAGGCGTATAGTTTAAAGGCTACCTTTACACTTAAGAACAAAATGTGTTGATGTAGCACACAAAATTAATTTTATGGCAGGGAACCATATTTCTCTGACTTAGTAAAATTTGTAAATGAGAAATCTCAAGTTGCTTGTTCTATATTTGCCTTAGAACTTGTTAAAGAAAATACACAACCCAAAGCTATTAAAGCATCCAATTCAATGTCTGAAAACAATTACAAGGCTAGATTAACAAAGACATTTGCTACTCATACTGATACGCGCAAAGTCCGAATTGAACGAAAATGTAATTGTTGCTTAAGAACATGTTCTGATTTGTCAAAAGTTTAGCTTATTAACTTTGGCTGATAGGCGCAAACAGATTAATACATTCAAACTTTGTTACACTTGTCTTAAAGGCAAACATATGACTGATACATGTTATAGGCAAAATATGTGTAATGTTCCCGACTGTAATGGAAAGCATAACACGTTGTTGCATAGTTTGACGAAGTTTAGGTCTGACCACACAGTTACACATCCGTCAGTAAATTGTGCTGCTACAAGCGGCTCCTGTGTCAAGGCATGCTTAGGAATCATACCCGTAGTGGTCACTAGCTAGAACGGAAGCACGTGCAAGACATATGCTCTTTTCGACGACGGTGCTGATCAGACTTTATGCGATGAGCGTTTGTTACAAACATTCAATCAACCTGAAACACCAGTGTCATTCAATATTGCTACTGTAAGTTCTTCCGGAAGTACAATATCTGGACAGGAAGTAAATTATCACGTGCGAACTGTAGCCGGTGTCAATGATATTCATCTTACGAATGCAGCACTTAAAAGACTGTCACGTGAACCAGATCTTCATGAAAAGTACAATACGACAGTGACAGAATACATTGAGAAAGGTTATGCAAAATTAGTCAACAATTCGAACAACCCAGGTCGTGTTTGGTATCTCCCACATCACCCGGTAGTATATGGCCGATGTGTTTTGGAGGCGTTGGACACGCGAGTATTTGCCATCTCTTCAATGCCGCCAGAAGTTGCAGAAATCAACCAGAGACGTTGTTGAAGGTGATCTCGTGCTGGTAGCAGACGAAAACATGCCAAGAGGACAGTGGCCTCTGGGCAAAGTAATGAAAGTAATAAAAAGCCGAGATGGTCATGTACGTAGCTTTGTGGCTGTGTGGTTAGGGCACGGGGTTCAAAATTAGTAAAACCAGTAACAAAGCTGTGTTTGCTAGAAGGTTCAGAATGATAAAAAAGAACAGTATAAATTTAATTTGAGTATCTTTACGTAGAAAAGAATATGGTAATAATTAGTTCATGTTTTGTTAAAAGTAAATCTCTTTTAAGTGCAAAAAAGTTAAACATTAATTTAAATTTATAATGTTAGATGAAAACTAGATTTATATACATGTAATATCATATATCATATTTGTGTTATTAATTGGAAATTAATTGAATTTTGATTGAAAATGCTTGTAATTAAGTTTATATCAATAAGTGATACTTTGCCTAAAAGAAATTTGTTAGTTGATTTATTGAAATTATAGTTATTCATACAATATTATTAACAAAAGTGTATTTGTATATTTGTTTATAAATTATTTATTGTGACAAATTACTTATAATTTCATGGAGGGGTGTATTAAATTCTTCTTTGACTTTATTAAGGCTTAACATTATGTTTTTGTTATATAGTTACATTTTCCTCTTTTCTCTTTCTTAAGTCTATTTAGTTCACATAATATCGTTTTCTTATTTACTGATATTTTTGTTTCCAAATTTAACGTTAACGTTTGGCGCGGCTTAAGACGCCGCGTTACGTCATATTTTTTTTTATCTAAACGGAAATGCAATGATCATAACAAATTCAAACGTTCATACTTGTAAGCATCGCGACGATATATCTAAAACGCCGCAATAGTTGGTATGTTTATTTATTTGTTTAAAATGGTAATTTATATTAAGTTTTCATTGAAAATATCTTAAATAAGATTATTTAAGTGTACTGTAATTATTTAAGTAAAATATGTTTTAATGTATTTATGTTTGCACGTTTTTTTATGTTTTGATATAATTATCTTTGTTTTTCATGTAATGATTTATTTTTATCCTCTTCTGTACAGAGAATCGTTTCCCGTCTCCCGATGTTACGTTATGAGATTACAACAAATAAACGCATTCTCACTAATACTGGCGTCGTGTGTTTATAGAAGTATTAAAGTCATGGTTGTTATAATAAAAACATACATAATTAATTTTGTCATTATTTCCCAAATGAAGTTTTGTGTATTATAAAGTTAGTAAAATATATAAAACTTCCTGACAGTTTTGAAACCGTATTTAATCGGTAGTCTGTGAAATATCCCTTGCCTAGCGGCTCTGCTTATATATGCGAACAACCGTTTATATAGGGCCATATTACTAATAAGCTTCATGTCTGATCAGTTTATGGACTTTCCGTTTACCCGGTGTTCCCGTCTCGTATATTATATAAATACGTCAAGTACACGACCTTTTATGTTGAATATACGAGGCCGTATATACCCGAATATAAGTGTATTTATTCGCAGTGATTCATGTTGACGACGGTAACGATTGTCATATCAAATGAATTAAGATTAACGTTCGTATTAATTATTTAATGTTTCTATCAACATGATAATTCTAATTACAATTATGCGAAATGTCTGTCTTATCGTATTCTTCTTTTCAGTGTAACGCGACCGTTGCGAAAATATTTGGTAGTACGTGTCCAACGTGTAGTAATGTGTTAGCATGCTCCTTTGGATGTTAACTATGAATCCATAACATTGATTTACTCGAACACAGTTGGAATATGTTAAAAATAGACGAATACTTACCGTACGTCAATTGTATTCCCCGCGCCGACATATATACTGGTACAGCTGTCGACGCTGGAACAGCTGGCTACCCATTTGATGTACGGTGTGGTGTCAAACAATACTGTTTACATTGTTAATACAAATCACGTTTACAAAGAATAACCTTGGAGAAGGTCGACTGTATCGATTTAAATATTGGTTTATTACATTGCTAGATTCATAAAGTGTGTTAGCTTTGTTAGGTGAATTTGGCTAAACATTAAGGTAAGTACATTTATAAGTCCCCTACCGGTTTACCGGAGGGGACTTTAGGTTTACCCTCCGTACGTCTGTCCGTCCGTCAGTCCGACCGTACGTCAGTCTGCCCGTCAGTTCGTCCGTCCACAAAGCTGGATCCCGCGATAAAGTAAAAAGTACTGAAAATATTTTTATGAAACTTGATATATGGATAGATGGCAGTATGGAGATTATGCACGTCTTTTTTCTTTTCTTCCTATGTTGAAAATTCTGGTTGCAATGGCAACAAATAGACTGAAAATATGGCCATGTTTTGCACATAAACTGGATCCATTGATAACGACAAAAGTACTGAAAATATTTTTATGAAACTTGATATATGAAAGACGGCAGTATGGAGATTATGCACGTCTTTTTTCTTTTCTTCGTATGTTGAAAATTCTGGTTCCTATGGCAACAAATAGACTGAAAATATGGCAAATTTAACACATAAACTGGATCTAGTGATAATGCAAAAAGTTCTGAAAATATTTTTATGAAACTTGAAATATGAGTAGATGTCAGTATGGAGATATGCATGTCTTTTTCTTTTCATTTGAAAAGGAATTGTTTGCCATGGCAACAAATAGGCTTAAAACATGGCAAATTTAACAATATTTGTGTTTAGTAAAAAAAAGCTGAAAATTTTTATGAAACTTTAAATATGGATAGATGGTTGAATCTTGACTATAGGGATTATATTCAGAGCTGTTATACTTAACAAACGTCGGCAACCTCGTCAATGTTGTTCTAGTTTTTTAGGCTTTTTCACCATAAGTTCTTTATTTCTTAAGGTATTTATTTCAAACTTCAAACGTAAGTTTCTGGTCATCAATCACATCATATGTGACAAGGTTTTAACTCTAGCACAAAACATTTCAGAATTGCCTCCCTTGAACTTACATGAAAAAATGTGTTTTTAACAATTTCTTTATTTCTCAATGTATTATCTTCAAACTTCATGACTATTCACAGAATTATGTCCCCCTTAAACTTAGATATTTTTGGAGAATTGGTATATTTAACTCCAGCTTCTTGTAGGATTTACTTCAAACTCCCACATCATTATAATATGACAATGTTTATAAATCTAGCATCCTTATTTCCAGAATTATTTTACTTCAAATTTAAAATTAGCATTCATTATGAACAGCTTCATTACTAATTGTTCTCTGTTACACTCACATCATGTATGACATCTTGGATCTTTATTTCAAGAGTTAGTTCAAGAATTTTGCTTTTTAAAAATATTATATTTTGGTAACAGGGGTGTTTAAAAATAACTTTAAAGTTGCCTTCAGTCTGTCTGTTCATAATAACTGATTCCTGTGATCACTGTTAAAGACATTTTCCAACAAACTTTCTTAAAAAAGAGAAACATTGAAACATAAGTAAATGGCCAATGGCCCTTCAGAATGTTGACGGGGTTCTAACCGGTAGGGGACTTATGGATTGCTTGCAATACTATGATAATTGATTGTTTCTTTTAAGACATGAAAATCCATACATTTTATGTCACCCTGACAAATGAGGGTTTCATAATGCAGACAACATGTTGTTTGGTTTTAAGTGGCACCATCACAGTAAATGTCATATTGCGACACTCCAGCTAAACAAAAAGAAGAAGACCTCAGACGCCCCTCTGTGTATTATTTCAGGCATGAACGTGCAGCTAAGTCCACAGCCTTTGCGAAAGCAAGTTGTAAAGGTTTTCTCACACGAAAGAATCCAAAGTCCCTGGATGAGGGGGATCGAATCCAAAGCGTTGAGTGGCAACTGGTTTGCAGTAAACTACCTTAACCACTAGGCCCAAGTTGAAGTAAAACAAGATTTAAAAAATTACATTATTGCTTAATACTTTTATATTTTCATGCAAGGTACCGGTATTTGTACATAATTCACAATCTACATGCAAAATATTGACTCGTCATCGTTTTTATCTGTAAAATAGACATCTATTTTTTACACTTCATCAGTCACTTTATCGTCAATTTGAAGGAGTTTCTCTCTCATTATACTTATAGTACCCAAAATAAATTGACCAAATAAATTAAATGGTTTATCTTTGAAAATAAGCAGTCTTTGCTTAAATCATGTGGTCAGGGATCATCAGCAAGCTTGAACATCGGACAAATGTTAATTAATGTCGCGGCGTTTTCAATTAATAAATTAAAGCAATTTGGTTCTAGATAAGGGCTATATCACTAATATACGTATATTTTGTGATGTATATTGATTAAATTTCAAGTTCCTGTGATAATATATAATGTACGTAATAAGATTAATAAGTTCTTCATCAATACACCTATACCGGAAGTGGGTGTAATACGTCATAATCTCGGTCTCGTCTGTCTCGCGAGAGTGAAAAAACAACAAAATGGCGGCGCCCATTAACTTATTTCTCAAGTAAAAAAATAGTGTGTTTAAACACGAAACGCTCAGTTATACGGATGATTTCAACAGAAAAACTGTCATGGTACATCTTTTTAAATGTTGAATATTTATATTAGACAGACATCAATCTATCCATTCCTATTCCTTTAAGTTTTTTTTAAATAAACATGTATACAAATTTAATATAATGTTCAATATATATTTTAAACATTAAAAAGTTGAACTTATCAATCTTTGGGGCAACGTTTTTATTTCATTTATTTCTTCCAAAGTATTTAAATACTGCTAAATTTATGCTTAATGTATTTCTTCTTAATTATGAGCATTAAACCAATAATCACCATCCCTTTATCCTTTCCTTTCCACAGAGGCCTTATGGAGGAAGTCGATGGCGCAAAACCTTCATATCCTGAAGAAGGAGAAATTCACCCAAAGGGTCTGCCTGCAAACATTTGTCAGCCGTGTTTAAATGAAGGTAATGAGATCAGCTCCCATAAATTCTGTATAGAATGCAATGAATACCTTTGCACTTCGTGTATAGAGGCTCACAATAGATTCAGTACTACAAAGACCCATCATTTGACAGAAAATAAGCTGGAATTGAATTTCAATCAAAGCATAAACGCAGGAAGATGTCTTTACCATATGGATAAATATCTCGACCACTTTTGTGTATCACATGACGAATTTTGTTGCGTCTCTTGTTTGAACACAAGGCATCGGTCATGCCAGCAAAAGCTTAGTATAAATGAAATGTCAGAAACAGTTACAGACAAGGATTTAGCCGATGCTGAAGAAAGAAAAGAAAAGTGCATAATGAAAATAGAAGAAGTGAAAAAAACATGCACAAAAGGCATTGATACGTTAGATATTGAAAAACAAGATGCAACGAATTTCCTCGAATCATTTCGAACTGACTTGTTTGTTGCTTTCAATAACCTTCATGAAAATAATACTGCAACTATAGAAAGAAAATATAGAACGATTCGGACAAAATTAGAAGCTGATTTGAAAACATGCAGTGACATGGAAAACAATTTAGAAAAGGGACACGTAGCTTTAAAATGCAAAGATGAAGCTATGCATTTTATCAATATGAGGAAACTATTGAGAGAAACAGATTTGACACAAGCGACTGCAGAAGCAATGGCAAGTGATGCCAACGTAAAACATTTCCAACTGACGAGAAGCTCACTTTGTTTACAGATCTTAAAGCAACCAGAACTGCTAATTGAAACTGCAGACCGTACACGTATTTATAAAGAAATTGGAACATCTACCATTCTCCGTGAATTTGATATTGGGCCTTCTGATAAAGGGTTTTATAAAAGTGTGTACAAAGAACCGTCTAGTTTGATAATACCGCTCAAAGAGTCAGTATTTGTTTATGATACAATGAAAAATGTATCTGAGGAAATTGATTTTCCAGATTTGGTATCGTCTGTAGAGAAAGTGAAACATATTTTTTTCGTTGCACTACCTAACAAGGGTGTAGTTGTTTGTCCAACGGGAAATAATAAAATGCAGATGGTTCTAAAGACGAATGAGCCATGCATAGGAATAGTTAAATCGTCATCCAGCTTCTATGTCACTGTTCGTATTGAAAAGGTTGGTCAACTCCGTACATATACATCTGCAGGAAAACTGGATGATGTACTTAAATCAAACGAAAATGGTGACAGTGTATTCACAGATAGAATTGGGGAAGTTAAAATATCAAAAGATGAAAAAAAGATATATGTTGTTGATACCGTAACTGGAATAGTGATAGTTTCTGCAAAACCATTCAGTTTAATGAAAATTATTTCAAACGTCAAAGAACCAAAAGGCATTGCTTTGATTCAGGCTGAAAGCATGTTTATTTTGCTGTCCGACGGTACAGTCACACAAACGACAGATGATGGGAAAACTTTTAACACTGTCATAGAAAAGGGCACACCACTTAGGACGTTTCGCAGGATGCATGACAAGGCATTACCAGGTGGTTATCATTCAATCTGCTGGGATGGATTCGCTACTTTATTTGTAATTTGTTCACAGAAAGGAAACCTGAAAATACTGCAACATGAACTGAATTTAAGAAATGAATATTGAACGTCTTATTTTCAAGGTTATGGTTTGAAGAAAAGGAATAACTGTATCATTTGATATTAATCTTGCTCTATAATATTCGGTAAACAAAGGTATTGTCATGCAACTAAAATGTTCCTTCTTCAATCTAAATTGACAGACAGTCACAGAATTGATTCGATGTGGTAACGTTCAGAAATGATTTCCTACACATTTTCTGACAGGCCTGGGGCCATTACTTTGCAAAAGGAACGCATTCCATAACCATCACATTGGGGTTTGGTGCAGTATCAGTACCGGTACCATTACTCGATTTTAGGCAAGTAATGCAGTACATTACCGATACTTGGACCAAGTAAATCAGTATCATTACCATTACTTTTGAACAGAAGACAATTTCTTTTTGCCAAGCTAAGATGTTTGTAGCTTATATTTACCAAAAACAATTAAACTTTTCATGTACATCTGTATGCATATATTATTAAACTTCTTAATATATGAGATTATTTCAGTTGATATATGGGCATATAAACCATTTGCTTGATTATCTGCTTTCTTTATAGATGACTCAAGATATTAATCATTGTGTTTACCTTTAAATAAAAATACAACCAAACTGAATTTGCAAAATATTGTATCTTAAGTTTTTATTTAAAAAAATTTATTTTAAGCCAGTACTTGTGACTATGCATGTCGTGATAATTAGTCTGGCACATGGCAGCTTGACATAATGTAACAATGAAAACTCCAAAATAAGGTGCTAATGTGCTCAATGGTCAAACATAGGCAAGTGTTAAATAGTAATCTTATCTTGCATAAAGGGTTATGGTTGGTAGCAGGCCTTTTATAAAGGCGTATATAATTGTATGCCCAACCCATTTTATATAACGTATTTTCAGCAATGACAACCGTCTCAAAAACTGACACTGTATGTATGATATTGACCTTGAGCTATATCATCTATTATAATGAGATTGTTTTGGGTTAGTGTTCACTCAATTTATTCAGTTTTATAATAATTGATATTTAACTGTAAAATTGGTGAACTCAAACTCATCATTCGATCCCCATTCTACACTGAACAATGTACATGCCTGCAAGTACAATAGGTTTTTCAACTGATACTTATGTTATAAATCAGTGCAGACAGAGAGGGGACATTGAATTTTCATGATTTGACTGATTAAGGCCATCACAATTTTATTTTGTGTTCTTTAGAGCATCCGTACCATATATGATGTAGTAGGTTTTGTGAAGTAATGCAAAGCAATGCAAAGTAATGCAGTTTCATTACCTGAATTTTGCATTTGAATAACATAACATGTAATGCAAACTGGCATGCAGTATCATTACATTGAATTACTCTTAAGAAAAAAAAATGATTCCTACTGCATTACCATTACCAGTATCATTACCCTAAGTCTGATTTCTGGTCAGTGTTTACTTGATTTGAATAACTGTTATATGATATGACCTCTTTACACTGTTGGTATGAATGTTTGAATTATTCTTCAAGAAAAATATTCATTCGATAATTTTCAAGTTTGCTTAAAAAATTCAAAATATAAAAAATAAGATCAACAAGGAAAGGCGGCATTTAAAAAACGCAACCCCAACATACCCCCCCCCCCCCCCCTGCAGCACAGGATCACCGATAAGAAGACAAGTAGGACCCCAAACAAAAAACAAAACAGGACATGGTAAAAGGCAAAGCACGGGTGTGTCAAAGCCGGTCCTAACGAACAGCAGGTCCAGTAGCGCAGCTAGTCCAAAAGTCAAAGAAAGGCATTAGACCCTCTGTCTATGCAAGTTAATAAGACATAACCACCTTAAGTAGTGGACTTAATATTTAAATTGACATATTCTCGGCGCAACGGAGATATATTTCTTTACCTCTGTCTTTGCCTTGTATTTATTCTAAGCATACCAATCATTTCAATTTTACTTGTTTTCCAATTTATTTTGCTTCAGCCAGACTTTTCAATCTTTGTTGCAACAGACAAACAAACATAATTTCAGAGATGACATACTCTTTGTGAATTTATGCATTAGGTTCTACCTTTTTGCAAAAATATGCAACTTAATAATTAAACAACGAGCACACACAAAGACCATGGAGATAAATTGATTAGTGCTTCGGATATTCAACTGTAATAGAGAACGATTCTCAAGGCTGATTTTGTACATTACCTGTGACTGTTCACATCATTTGGCGGTGTCGTTGATGCATCAAATCAATATTTAACTTGTTTTATTTGCTACAGTTGTGTGAAAATAGCAAACGTATTGCACATTTAAGTTTTATGGTATTGATTTCATAAACAATTAAATCTCTAAAAAGTTAATCGTAGTTTGAGTTATACAAATACATCAGCTCACATGTTAAAAGGGAGTATCACATTATGGGAAGATACGTTATGTACGGGATAATTGATGCACGACCTACTTTAAAATAAGGAATAACTAATTTAGTACAGGTATCTCGTGCATACAATTTCAAACCTTGATTAATATTTAAATTTGAGAAATACGCAATGTATAACATTTTGGCAGAAGCAGTCACGCAACACTGACCTACTAAGACATATGTGTAAGTGTTATAATTCATTTTTTCAATTTTATTTCATTCATACTTGGAGAAGCTAGTGGACCTAGCCGTGTAACACCACACTTCGGAGTCCAAGTTGCAGAAAATTTTACAGAGCTATTTGGGTCAAACACACTCAAGAGTTATGATGCTATAAACTGTGCTCTGCTAAAATACTGGGGACTGACTAATTTTCGATCTGAATTCTTGAAATATTTTAGACGGACTTCAAGATAACGGCCAATACTTAGCCACGTTACTGTGCAATCTTACTAAGTGTCATATTAATTCTGATGTAGCAATAATAAACATATTCAGTTAAAACAAATTGTGCTTTTTGCTTAACTAGTAAAGCTTTTACAAATTTTACTTTTCAATATCGAAATAAATGTAACTTTTTAACAAACTATTACTAAGTAAATTGTGAATGTATTCCTAGCAATAACAGATGTTTCGAAAAATATACTGTTTTTTGTAAGCCATTACTTTATAAGTTTTGATGCCAAATTGAACCCAAATTTAAATGCATTTGGGATGAAATAAAATGCAGTAAAAATATCATCTAATTTTATTTCAAAACATTTCAATATCTTTTTAAACACGGGGATTATACCCAATATGGATATTAAAATTAAGCATCGGTAAAAATATATAAATTATGTGGATATCCGGCGAACCACAATTTGCAGCGTCAACATTTACAGGGGAAAATGATTAATCTGCTTTTTTTTTTTTTTTAATGCGTTTATTTAAGGTCGCCGCCGGAAACCCATATGGGCGACCGTACACTCAAGTCGGGCCATCCTAGAGCGTCCCGCCGAGATTTTTTCGTTGATTTTTTTCCAGCTTTATTGGTGGAGGAAGACCCCAGGTGCCCCTCCGGGCATTATTTCAGGCACGAGCCGGCACCTGGGTAGAACCACCGACCTTCCGTAAGCCAGCTGGATGGCTTCCTCACATGACAGAATTCGACCCGAGTGAGGATCGAACCTACAGCGGTGAGGGACCTGTGATCTCAAGTCAGCGACCTTAACCACTCGGCCACGGAGGCCCCCTGATTAATCTGCTAAAGATTTATGTGCTATTTATAACGGTAATCCTCAAAGAACGATTTCATTTGCAACTCATTTTTGCAGGTCGGACATGTTATGTATGAAAAGTGTTTACATTACCATACCAAGTTTACAGAGCATACGTAAGGTCAGTGAAAGTTAGTAAAGCTAAAGCCAATAGCTTGGAAGTAAACGTTTAGAAAAGGTCTGCTATTATAAGGTTTGCAGTGGTTCTATATATTTTCCCATCATATTTCTGAAATTATCTTATATATGTGTACATCATTCTGTCTCTGTATATTGTAGTTTTAAAAAGATTAGATAAGTAAGTATGGTGAACCACAATTTCACTTTTTGGCCTATATTATTACAAATATTGTTTCATCGACACATTTCCTACCTTATAAAAGAAGTGCAGAGCTAAGACAGTGATATTAATGTCACCACTGTACTATAGACTTCGGCTATACGTGTGTATTTATAATAAATTAAAAAAAAACAATACCTAAATTTAAGTACATGTAAAATAAAACGTTGATATATAATTTCCAATATCAAGAGTGGTTTCTAGATTATTAACTTACTTTGAAAATATCTGGGTTAGCTTACGTCATTTTCAGATCAGATAGTTTTTACAAAATTCTTACAAACATTATTTTTTTAATATTGGTATATGTTTTATTCTACATGTTCTATGCTAAGAATTCTAAATTTCACGAAATTCCATTTAACATTTTTGTTGGCTGCATTCAGATTAAGTTCAGACACTGATAATTCTTTAAAAGTGACCATTTTTAAAACAGTTGCAATCTTTCAGACAAAAAATTCTTATTATGTTGCGCAATCACGGCAATTTCGACAACAATTATTTTCCCATGAGATAAACAAACTTTTCTCATTCACATGCAAATAACTCAAAACGACGTCGATTATCTAAACTCTTTCGCTTAAAATGTTTCTTTTTTCAATTCATGATCAGCACGTTAAACTTTAAATATATTCTAGTGTACAGTTTTCATTCTGCTTTGTGTAAATTAATAAATTGTAGTGTTATAAATATAAGAGACAAATCATTTTATTTTTTAATGAAGCACGAAAAAGCAACAACAATAATTACTGAGTGAACAGTGATTGACTTCATTGTAATTTTGAAAGCCGTATAACTGAAAGATTGCACATCTCTCAAGATTTAGCTTGAAGATAAACAAGAAGTATTTTTAAAAAAAGATACTCGGCCGACGTAAAACTGGCTAAATCGATAGGTTAGTTCTGATGCAAAGATATAAGAAATGTTAGCATAGCTTGTATAACTATGACATAATAATTTCTTGTAGGGCTATTAATCTTGAAAAATAAAACACTTTAGTGTACGAGTATGTATTTCTCAACAAACCTGTTGTGTTTCGGTAAGTGAACTCAATTTCTAAACACCACCATTAACACAGTCGGTAGGCAATTATTTTATAAATACTTCTATAATCATATAATATACAATTATTGATGTTTTTGTGGACAAATTTAAATCTCAGATGCTGTGTAAAATAAACTGAGTAAGTTCTAACGTCAAATAAACTGTTCACTGGAAAATGTAAACAGATCTGATGCAGTTTAAAATGATTTGTGGGAGGAAGTATTGTAAAAAAGAACTTAAATATCTGAGCAATTTAATTAGTTATCCTGTCCAGTTGTTTTTATAACTATCCTTTCAATTTATTTGATAATGGCAAGAACAATCATTCACATTTTAGTTTAAAACTATGTTAGCATGACAAGAACTAACCTTACATTTTGCCTTAGAATAGCCAATGACATTCACATATTTTTTATTTTGTTATTTAAAATAACCAATGAAAACTCATCTTAAATTCAATTATTCCCCGTGTCAAACTGATTTTAGAGCGGTCTTCTGCGTAAAAATGAATAATTACATGTACTAACTTTATTAAATTGTCGCATTATCCTGTTCCGATTGTACCAGCTCGTGTGCACATCAGATGAGAGTAAGTGAGATAGGGATAATAAAATGCAAAAAAAAAATATAATTATAAATAAACTGTATATATTATTCAAACCGTTGTATTTTCAGTGACTTTATCAACAGCAGATACGAATAAGCAACCATTTGAAAAGGCTTATCTTCGTATTTCCGCATTTTTTGCTCTTTTGTTCATTTCATTTAACGCAGTTACGTTTTAATTTCAATCTAAAACACATATTTACATAATAACACAAGACCATAACCGTAAGAGCAAGCTTAAGATCGTGGAAATGTATTAAAAATGTTTAGATTCTATTTGGATATATGTCACAAAGCTCTTTCATGACATATGACAAAGGCTGGCCGTCGAAGGGGATACCGTTTTCAATAAATTATTAAGAAGTTCGGATTGTTATATACATGTTGTATATCAATTTTAGATAAGTTTTTGTGATAAATAGAAAGTAATTACTAAAATGTTTTCATCAAAACTTGAAATGGTCACAGAACTTAGACAAGTCATTTATTAATGGTGTTTTCCTTTCTCAGCGATTAAATACAATATAAATAAGTAAGGAACTGCGACATTTCTTGCAAATTATAGCAAATAAACAGCAAAAATTAACGTGTAGCACCATCTAGGTACACATATAATTGTATTAAATGATGCTTTCAAATATCTCAATGATGATGATACTAGGCAATGAAGATTTTTTGTATACCACAGCATCAAACTTCTATGACATATTATGGGGATGCTCCTTACTATGATAATAATGACAAATATGATCCTGACGATCATAACTGAAGTCCAAATGTTTTATGTTAATTGTGATACGAAAATTCAGGTACCCTATTTTACTTGAGTATTTGAATATTTGTACATGTAGTTGATACTAATTCATTTAGTTCGATTGTGTTAGAAGCTATAAGTTTATTGAAACACTCTCAAATCCATTCCTGGAACAAACCAGTACTAAGCACTGAGTGTAAAGTTTCTTGTTCCGGGAAACAACGACTTGCCACTGACGGGGTTTCAACTAAAGCGGCCAGCAATTCTTAAATTACTAGTCCGATACGTTAACCACTCGGCCAGAGCGCTTCTCTAATTGTGAGTTAGGAGAACTCCAAATGGATAGGGACAGAATGAGCTCTAACAACAGAAATAATAACAATGACGGCTGCAACAACAAGCAAAATAATATGTTAAATTGCAACAAGAATTTCCACTGAACATATTGTATTGATAGACCAGAAAATGAAATCCGACAATTCTAATTAATAAGAAATCATAACTATAAACAAAGCTTAAAAGTGACAACTTACACAACGTACACATTTACATATTAAAAGTTTATTGTGCTCATTTTTCATTTGAAAATTATCTAATTCTATCAATGTCCTCAATGAAAACAATATATATTTTTTTCTTTTACGGGTTACATGTTTGCATGCATTGCCTGGAGTAGTCGGAGGAGCGACAGAACATGGCGTCACAGTAGACATAAAGACCCTCGTGATTGCTGGTATATTCGAAATCCTCGAACACAAAGCGAGTCTCATGTGAGGACTGTGATATGATATGAGTGTTCGAATCCTTCTCACACCTTGAAAAAGAAATTAAATTATCGATAAATAGAAAAAAAATAAAATGTCGTTGACGACATATTAGAATTGTTTGACGGCATAATCAAATGCTTTGATGACATGATCAAATTCTTGACAGCTAATGAATAAGTTCTGTGTCAGCATTGTGTTTTTTTACGACATTTTTGCTACATTTTGACGCTGCAGCGATAAATGAATAAATTATAATGCCTGAAAGTATTTTCTGAATTAATTTTATACGAATATCACTCAAATATTGTTAAGTTTATATATTTAAAAATGTCTTTAAATAATTCATTTTAAATGATTGTATAATTATTTACCCATTCTTTATCATTTCAAATTTGAAACTGTCAGATGCAGTTGCAGATGGTTTTGTGTAGCACGTATGTACCCTCATTTTGATTGTCCAGTCAGAGCTTGTGGTGAAAACCTTGACATAAACTTTGTTTCCTACAGCAACATGGATTGGGTTTCCACTAATTTGATATGCAAAATTAGGATCAGAGTAAAAGCTCATGTTGACATAGTAATGACTCGAACCAAGCACTGAGTCGACAGGATTATTACCTGCATCATGATGAATATGTCCTGAAAAGAAAGAAAGAACTTAAACATCATACAAGTACTGTGTTGTTTTCTTTGGACTATTTTTATGAAATCGTTAGCAGGGTAATTCTGGTTTAGGTACCCAATTATAACTCAGTGCTTTGAAATAACAAATTTGCATGACCAGTTGAGATGCATGCAGTAAAACATACTAGCTGAGAATGAATTAAAAAAATAAATAAAAGGCTCTAGTTACATGCAAAAAGCAAGAAAAAAAGATGATCGTTTTGACTTAAATTGTATTAACCTGACGACGTTTCATTCCTTCCAACGTCACATTCTACACTCACGGTCCAGTTGTAGTGTCGAATTATAAAGGAATGAATTGGGTCTCGTTCTGCATACACAAGCTGGTTTCTGTACACAAGGACATCATTTCTAATCTGTGAAGAAATAAAATACGCCGAATTTGTTGTTGAATTTCAAACATTGCTAAAAAATAAGAGCAAACATTTTGGAAGAAATTACCTTGAAATATAAATGAAGTCAAAGAACAAGCTGCAGACTTCTATGTTAAACGTCCAAAATATATTTATTCAAAAAAAAGGTAAAGCAGAAAGTTATATTTCAAGATTTAATCAAGAAAGATTTAGGTTTAACAAAGGTTTGACTCAGTGTCACTGAGTCTGCATATTAGAAATAATGAAGAAGAGCAACATCCCTCGTTCTTCCTTAGCACCGGCTTAAGCGATAGTCAATTTTCAACATTTAAAAGGAATCAATGATCAAAGGAATCAGAAAAATATATCAACACTGAAGTGAAGTATGGGGCAGCTTTTTACATCTGCCCATTGCACTTGACACCTGCTGTTTTGAAATATATATCTGAAATCTATAAAATTATTAATTTGATTTAACATATTTAATTTATAATTCCAGGCAAAAATATTTACAAAACTTGCTTTACACATTCTTCATTCATATAACTCAAAAACTACTAAAGCACAGTGCATCAGGAACTTAACAATTTGCACGTTTGAGTTCATCAGAACAACTTGCAATCAATTAAAACACTTACAGTTTGACTAGTGAGACACTCATGTAATCCTTGTTGAAATGTGACAGTATTCCAGCCTTGTGTACCAGTACACGTATTCTCCCCTAAATAAATATCTGAAGCCACAGCACCAGGATGTATATTTCTCAAAACAGTAAGGTCTACTCTAATGTTCCAACCATTTTCGGCACATCCAACTCGTATTGCATCTGTCAGGCTATATCCTAAAGAAGAGCACATATATATAAACTGTCACACTGCCTGATTACAATCATGGATATTTGTAGGTTTCTTAATTCATTCCATTGCTTGCCATCAATCGCAGATATTTGTAGAAATTCATGGGGTATTAAAATGTGATATAAATGCCAGTGAAATAAAATGGATATTTGCTGTTTATCAAGATTTTGGTGTCCGTATTTTAATGTTAAATGCACTTTCTTTCTTCTAATAAGTTTATAAGTGTTACCTATTTTATTAGCATTGTTAAAAAATATGCTTTGCGACGAATTATTAATAATATATGTAAATTCCTCATTTTTTTCTCTATTACATTTTACACCGTTTAAAACATGGACACTATGGTATCAATTTATATTATTCAATTGACAAAGCAAGATCAACTGTTGATCTATATATTGCTTAAGGATATACTATGCTCATCCTTGGTTAAAATATTTAAATCACAGATATTTATTGAAATCTATGAAATCTTACTGAATATGTCTTACTTTTTTTAAATAAGCTAATGAATAAGCAGTGTATAGGAAGCTGCTACACGTCATGCAAAGTTGGTATGTTCATTTTTTAAAAATTGCTAGTTTTACTATATTTTCATATTGTGACCACATATAGTGAGTATAATTTTAAACATTTGTAGATAAGGTCAATTTACTGCCTATCTGTACACTCATCCTATATTTACAAACACAGTTGTAATCACTGTAGTGAATAACTAACTGTACATTTTTATTCATTCAGGCATAATCACATGACATCATTTTCATTCATCATTGTAAGAATTATGGGTAATGTCTTGTTCTTGTTGTAAGTTACTATGCTCAGTGAACTGTCTCTTGTTATGTCTTTGTTATGTCCTGTGTTGTTAAGTGATGTCCAATAAATATCTTGTATATTTGTTAAGTTAGAATGTGATTGGATGAGAGTGATTTCATATCATTTTATGCATGGGCAATTTACATTCCTTTTCTAAGAAATCATTTTCAAACTTTGCATTGTAAAGTTAACATCAGTAGTTCTTCATAGAACATTTTGAATATTATATTTATATAAATCAACTTTACGTTGGTTCTTTATAGAACGGATTTGATATTATTTTATATAATAGAGGTCAGCCAGTTGCACCTGGTAGGATACGTTTTACTTTAAATAACTTAAAAGAAATGTAATGAAATGTATGAATTAAAGTTAGAATTGATTGTTTGAAATATGAAATGTTGAAATGATATCGATATTGAATTTGTATTTTAATTTATGTTTTGTATTTCATGTATTTATAATTGTTTATTCATTTTTTAGGTTTCATTTTCACATCATCAAAATAAATATTGAACACCCAGTCAGAGTTGGTCATCTATTGTATCCAAACCATACTCTACACATATTTATATTAAACATACTTCCTTTGAGTGGAATCTAAACATTTAATAATTTATATTTATTCTATATTTACACAGAGACTGTCTGTTTAGTAATTAACAACATTTTCTAATATCAAATTTGAGCATAGTATATCCTTAATTGTACTTTTAATTAGGAATTGTTGATTACCTTTAGTAGATAAGTACCATGGTCTGTATGTAGTAGATGTATAGTAACTATCACTGGTATAATATCCCGAGTATTTAGGCAATGTTACTCTTCCATATGCATAACCTGCAAAAATGTACTTATGTAAATAACAGTACTGTATTTATTAAAGACATTTAGTGTGATATAATCATAATTGTATATACGTGTTTTTGCTATAAACATTGTAATAATGTTTTATTTGCAATACAGTTATCAGTATTTGTATTTGTATATTGCGATTTAATAAATATCATTTTGAATTGAGCGTTATTACACATTAATGTTCATACGTCCTAAATTTACATTTCGTTTGTTTACAAGTTAACAAGTTTTTACAAGTTTGTTCAACAAAAGCATTCTTTAAAATTGTACTTTTCCAAAATATATATTTATAAATGTTAATAAAGCTCATCACCAATTGTATAAGTACCGAATAATGTTTACGTTCCCCTTTTTTCTATTTTACAAACCGTTACATACCACGACAATCAACACCAGCATCTTCACTATGTCCACAATCATTCTGGTACCAGGCGGATTGCATGCACTGTGTTATATCCGTCTCGTAGCCATTACAGTTCAGATTATCAAGAGCAATTCGACCGCTTCCTTGTCCAAAATGTGCATCTGAGTAAGGTCTACCATAACTTTAACATAAATGGGGCGTAATAATCATTATTGATACATTGATAGTCAAACTTTCACAGCATTTGTATTGATAACATTCAAATTATTGACCGGTTTGATCATCTTTATAAGAAACGTTTAAATAGGTCATTATCATACTGCATGTTTGTAACGTCGCTTTTCATTGGATAATCGTGACGTTAATATAAATCATATTAGACCATTTGATCTGTCAAACATTTTATAACCAATAACATAATATATGTAATAATGTCTAATGCAGACTACAACATGTTCATCAATGTCGGCTGAGATCGAAGCAGCTAGAGGAAGTGATGATGAACTCGGGAGATATTATACATCTGAAAACTGTAAAACATGCTTTCAAAAATATTTAAAAATATACCTATCACCGATATACATTCCAAGCATTTTGCAAATGACCTTGACCGTTCTGTTATTAACATCATCGTCGCAAACTGTACCCCACGCGCCATTGTGATAGACCTCCACTCGCCCCGAGTAATATGTTGGTCCATTTACAAGCCGTATTGGTGTTCTAACTAGAAACAATAATTGAACACAATACAATTATATTTCTTCTAAGGGTTTACCATATTCTTTCCCTTTATATTTGACTTCATTAGAATAATAAACTACGTAAATAAAACGGACAACTTTCTCTAGTATCCTTTTTATCGCTTTCTCATAGCAGTGTGTATGAAATTATTTATAGGTATAAAGAGTTTACCCTCTGTAGTTTCTGCTGCATTGTTGTACCACCAAAGCGTTGTCATGTCATAAGCTGTTGAATAAAAAGGCGATAAAAGTAACTGTTGATAAAAATGAGAATTTGTTAGCTATATAAAAAATAAAATAACTCATTCATTCACTAACTCACTCACCAACTCACTCGATCACTCACTCACTACCTCAAAAGTTAAGTTAAATTATAAAATATTCATAGCACAGGTGTCTATTGTTTTCTTGATTGCACGTCATTATCATTTACAAAAATTATTCTAATATTTTGATAATGAAAGAACATTACATGGACAGCACTTAAAATCCACAGACATCCTAGAAAACACTTAATCATGTTGCTATAACTGTTATCTGTTTGATTTATAAAATATAAAAATAGGGATAAAGGAATTTGATAAACGAAGAAGTGCCAACTCTTACCATAACAATTAACTCCGGCGTCTTCGCCGTGACTACAGTCATTTGAAAACCATGCTTTAGTTCTACAATCCCAGATGTGATCCTCATAACCATTGCAACTTAGATCATCTAGTGCTATGCTGTCATTACCTTCTCCATAATAAGCTGATCCATACACTATAGTGCGACTACAAGAAACGGTTTTACTTGATTAATTACATAAGAACAAATAATTGAAATAGTTTGAACCAATTTAAATTTTGGTGGATTTTCTCATTCTATAATATAAATACATTCTTCTCAAGAATAAGTCTATAATCGACACTCTTAGATACAAAAAAGATAAAAAGATAAAGAATCATTTATGTATTTTTAAAACATCTAATCTACCTGTCACCATAGAAAATTCCTAGTTGTCTACACACAGTCCTCGCCTCATTTTGTCCAAAACTGTCATCACATATTGTCCCCCATCTTCCACTATGATAAACTTCAACTCGACCAGAATATTTGCTGCTACCATTTACAAGACGTATTGTTACTGTAATAGTCAAAAATGTACTCATTTCATCAATTATATTTTCGCAAAAAGGATTTTACAACATTATAAATACCTGTACTTTGTAAATTTCATTTCCATATGATAATTCTTTAATAATGGTACCAACTTATTTACCTTAAAATGTTGCCTTGTATGTACTGTAAAATGACTTAAGAAAAACCATCTGTAATTTATTTTGCTTAGTTATGTTAACTGAAAAAAAACTATTTGACTCTTACCGATTTTTATGTATGTATTAACTTGTACAATACGAATAAATAATTTACTCATTTACAATGTTTAAGACAACAATACTTAAACAATAAGTAATGCAAGTGAAATAAGTTACACAAGTTAAACATAGTAAATGTAGTGGTTTGATTATTTTTTAATCAATATGAATAATTTAAAAGGACCCTACTAAGTTTTTAAAGGATCGGAATGGAACATAAATCTCGAGATTCGTGTACCATTTAATTTTATTGTAGGTTTGGACAAATTACTCGTTCGCAAAAAAATAACTTACTCCGTTTTTATGCAAGATAAACAATAAAAGCGTTTATCGCGTTTCAATGCGTTTAAATCAAGCTAAATTGCTCAAATGAATGATTTTTAAATTAATTTTGTATATATTTCTTTATAATCTTTTGCATATAGTCCGTTCTATGTGCCTCATTTAATTTTATGTAAGACTTTCTATGTTGGTTAGAATTTTGGACTTCAGTGGAGTACCTAAAGAATAAAAGGTTTAAATTCGTGAACAATTGTAAGATTTATTCTGACCGTTACAAGATACACCAGCGTCTTCGCCATGGTTACAGTTTTCATGATTCCATCCGGAAGATCGACAGTCCTCTAAACTACTTTCGCTTCCGTTGCACTGCAAGTCATCAAGAACAATCCTTCCACTGCCCTGGCCAAAATGTGCTTGTTGAAATTCCATAACATCACTTAAAGGGAAACAACTGTTTCAGAATTTTATTTCAAATAAAATAAGTGATAATAGCTGGTAATTCTAACATAATTATGTTAACAAAAGTAAAACCAAACATATGTCTGTACAGTAAAGTAATAAAACAGCCTATAATTAGTTATATTTTAGTTCTTTAAGACATTCAGTTCGAAAAATAAAATGGTTTTGCAAACGATTTCGAAAATTGCAAGGAAAAGTCTAATCGTGCTTGAACATTTATATAATTATAAATGATTTTAAACCTATCAAACTATATAGCTTTTAGCTTCACATAAATGAAATGTTCTCTGATGGAAATTGTACAGGACCAGTGTCCTTGAAACTTTTTATATGTCTATATCATTAACTTTTGTTCAAATTAATTCAATGAAATACCTGTCATAGCTCAACATCCCTAGCATTCGGCAAATGACCTCAGCATCAGGCCGATCGAAGCTGTCGTCACAAACAGTGCCCCATGCTCCACCATGAAATATTTCAACTCTTCCAGAGTACGGATTATTACCATTTACAAGTCGAATTGGAACGGCATCTTTATACAGATATAAATTATTTATTTGCATTAGTTTGTCAATATCTTTTAATACAAATATACTTTACAATCAAAATTGAAAATTTATTGATGAGAATGTTATAAAACCCGATACCTTCAATATACATGTATGTATGTGGGATGTTCAGTATAATTAGTACGATGGTCGGATAAAACCCTTAATATTCGAAACCTCAACAAAATGTACTTGATCGTGAAATCATGTGTGAACAAAAAGAACAAAAATTACACACACAAAAATCTAATTCCTAATTTCACAGTTATTAATGTTATTATATTATTCACATTATGCCTCAGAAGATTTGCGAACATGAGTTATATAATATATGAATAATGGTTAAAGAGATGGCTAGATGCTTAACACCGACAAATAGTAAATCTGAATGTGATATTATTTGTCATAAAAGTAGCAAAATATAAACAAGTTACTATTTTGACTTCCACACACAATATTAAATCATAGCAACAGAAGCAAAAGAATGTTCAGGTAATTGGCTAATGAGCAATGAGTAACGTATTAGACACTAAAACAGGACACAATGAGCTTTTAAGAACTGAAAAAACAACAACTTTTATGCCTGTTCAAGATCAAAATGTCTGTTAAATAGGCTGAAAGTAAAGCATTAGTCATTTGCAATTGATACATCGATGATCATTAAACCTTTAGTTTGAAACCTCATTTCTGTAAGAGCATACCTTTACTTTTTGTAAAATAAGGGCTTTTGTTGTATGTCTGTCATTCGACTATGACATATTAGGCATTTTCATATCATTAAAATGACACTAGATGCACTCGGGTTTGACAATGATTTTACATGAATGTCACATGTATAATAATGTCACAACCTGTATATATTCTCCAGAAGAAACTGTCTTTGATATCAGCAGAATCAGACTCCTTTCCACAATAGGAATTGCTTCTTACAACACCTGGAATAATATACACTTTTAATGAAAAAAATAAATACTTATCCAAAATAAACAAATATTCACAGTTTCATTTTTCTTGATAACTCGATTACTCTAGTGTACAATTTTTAATAATGAGTGTGTGATGAATAAGGTATTGTTAGAAAGTGCTTAAATGCTGTTTTGTAAGTACTATTGAAATAAACTTATATAAAAATATCACAAAATCTGTGGTTGTTGCAACACGATAATACTTTACAAGTTTTTTATCCATCTTTAGATTAAACAATGAATCAATGTAAACATTAAATAAAACTCACCGGCATCAAACACAAAATAATATGTCTGATTTTCATGAAATGTGGTGTTAGTCCAAAACTCCAAGGAGTTGTTGAAACCATTGATAAATACTCGGCTTCTATCAGAAGCAGCAATGTTCTCAAGTAGAGATCCTCGTTCACTGTATAACCGGATGTAATGACCCGAAGAACCACGAGTAAACTGCAAAATATTTAGATGTCAACATATAAAAATGTGGTGATTTTATCTGTTCATAAACCACGTGTCACAATACAATAAAATAATTTTAAAAATGAACAATTCAGAGGGCAGCAACACACATTTTTAGTTCACATCCTATTTTAAAGTGTTTGAAAGGAAAAAGAGAAACTAGCAATATTACAACATTAACTATGACATGTAATAAAAGCATTTTTCAAGTAAAGAACGGTACTGTTTTACTTTAATCTTACTGATTCTACCTATCAGTTCCAAATAACATGATTCTAATATTTTTATTTTCTTTCTGGTCTTTATGGTTTGACTTACTTGTCTATCTACCCTGATGCTCCAAAGTCTTTGATCTGGTGAAACCAATCCTGTTGGTCCTTGTGATCCATACACAAACTGTGGCCTCGACACTATTGATTTATAAACAATAAGTTAACAGTAATTCTTATATGTAACATTAATACAAAATTCATTGATTTTTACTTACAATGATATAAATATTATTTGGTACATGTAGACTAAAAATCTGATTTTTCCAATATTGTAAAGGTTATAATTATATAGTAGCTTTATTCTTTATTTTTGTTTTCACTATGATATACCTATTTACGTATGTACTTAAATTTTATTGTTTTGATAGTTACCTCCGGAAAGCAATGTGATGCACCTCTTTTCACTCTGTTGTCTGGATAAAATATGTTAATACATTAAAAATGATAAAAAAAACTTACAACTTTTCAATTTATTCCGGTCTTGTCCAGCATTTACATGGTATTCATGTTTCATTGTTTTTTTTACTTTACTTTGATAGCAGTCATAATCTCTTAATATTCAATGTATTCAGCAAAACAAACGCTTAGATAGCATGGAATCTATTTTGAACCTTCAACATAGACTATATCTGGAAAAAAGTGATCCCTCAGAAGATAAAATTACATGAAAATTGCAGGCCGTGTTTATTGAGTCTGTACATGAGGGATAAGGAAAAAGTGCAATATCCCTCACGACCATAGCACCGGCTTGAGCGGTACTCAATTTCAACACCCAAAAGTGCTGGAGTAAAAAAAATCCAAAGGACCAGACAAATATAACAACACTGAAGTGAAGTACGGGGCATGTCTCCCTTGTATAGTACTTTTAGAAGAAATAACATTTCGATAATTCATGGACGTTTTGATTTATATAATGCAAATTATCTTTTTAAGGATTACAAACCCTAATGGAAATTCTAAATAGTATAATATTGGTTTTCTTCTCACGTTACCATTAAATCTTTATTGGAAGCACGTGGCCCACAGGTAGTCCTGGGTTCAAATCCCGGTCAAGACAACTGATTTCATTTAGTGACTTTTTAATGATTTTAACATTGTTTTCTTAAGGGATATGCCAATTTTTGCAAAAACAAATTTGGTTGTGATACAATAATAAAAATAAAAATGTATAAAGATGATATTTTAATGCAAATAAGACACCTTGGCCAAGCAAGTATCTGTATGCATACATGCCAAACTGTTATAGCAAAATATATAGATGGTAAAAGTGTTATATATATATTTTTAGAACTTGTTAATATATATCAGAAGATGTTTTTGAAATAAGCGATCTTAGATTTCTACATACGAACACTGACTTTAGTTGTTAGAAAAGATGTGCTATATTTAGCAATTTATTTCACTCGCGTGCATTAAAGTAAAGGCCATGATCATTTGCTACTAAAAATCTGGAAACAAAGTGATCCCTCGGAAGCATTAATCACAACAAAATTACAAGAGAATAGCAGACTCGGTTTGATTGAGTCTGTGCACGAGGGATAATGAATACGTGCAACATTTCTCACGCCCCTAGCACCGGCTTGAGCGGTACTCAATTTTCAACACTTAATAGTGCTGGCATCAATGATCCCGAAGGACCAGAAAAATATAACAACACTGAAAAAGTCACCTTGTTAATTGTATACATTCAACTTGAAAACAAAAACAGAGATAATTTCTACAAAAATGTATTTCATATACAAGAATTATTCCAATAAATATGCCACGGTGATTTAAATAATAACACACCAAACAAATTTACAATATATAAATATCTAAATAACATCACTCTTACTGCGTATACACATGTAACAACAAACCAAAAACTGTATATGTATATTGTGTTTTCATAGATGTACGTCGTTTTAAATGATGAAATCGATATTCGTAAAATGAATATCGCAGTCTTTAAAGTGATCCCCCGAGGTTCAAAATAAATAAATTATGAAACTCGCCGCTCTCAAAAGTAGTAATGTTTAATTATTACTCAGTTATAAGAAAATGAAATAAAAGCGACATAAATTTTGTCCCATATTGCTTCATAGTTGAAATCGTAGATTAAGAATTTCTTTGATGCCGTGCATCAAGGTTGTTGTAAGATTACATGGAGAGGTTGTCATAAATACATACCCGGTCGTATCTGTCGCCGTGAAACAAAACACATTACTTGTGTCGTTGATAGCAGTAGGCGTCCAGGTCACATTTATCTGCCAAGTGGTTTCATTTATTTGCATTAAGGGTGATTTAACCATCCCTAGTGGCGATACTGTCTTTATCTCTGCAATACTAATCATTCAAAAATTGTGAAATACCTTTAATTATTTGTAATTTGGACTGAAATAGTGTTTACATAATTGATACATGTTTAAGAGCAGCGACGTAAACAAGATAACATAAGGAGGTATTTTTGAAGAATAGATTACTCAAACAGGGTGTTATCAAGATCCTCCAGATGTAGAGTAAATAAGTACAATGTGCGTGATGGGACAGAGAACCACAATATCTGCTAATATTTGTATATGTACTCCATGCCATAAGCCTTAAGATATGTCATTACTTTGAAATAAGGAAGTAACCATTATAGTAAGAATACAAAAATGTAACTAGCCATTTACAAAACGGCTGGTGAGTTCCGAGGCCATGGTATGCCGTCGCGTCAAAGTTTCAAAGCAATAGTGTTAAATGGTGCAATTTGGAAAGCGCTTAATATGGTATCGAACATTGACAGTTTAGGTGAATTAATCGACCAAACACACAGGGCCCATTGTAAAACAATATTTCGATTATTGCAATTTCGTATCGTCTTAATTTTGTTCTTATTTTTCTGAGGTTTTGTTTACTTTCTTCATTGCTAGCGCTTTTAGATGCACAAAAATGAAATGATTCTACAGCTCCATGCTTCAAAATGACAAAAAGAGCTGTTAAAAAATATATATGTTGCAACAAACCATCAACGTAAATAAAACATTTATGTTCTCCAAATTGTAAGATCGAAAGTAGGCATCCGATTTGGTAAATTGCCGATATTTAAAGTCATACTGTAAGGAAAAAATTGACACAGACAATATTAAATGGTAACATTGCATCGCCCATCGGTTCAGTTGCACTACTAAACAATTTTTGGCTGGGGTTTACGTTGTACTTACGCAACACAGGACATATGACGACTTTCCAGCTTTATTCATGCATTATATCAGGCATTAGCTAGCTGAATAGCTTCCTTACATGAAAGAACCCAAAGCCCCTAGT